TTTTCATAGAGCTGTCTGGTTCTTTGATCTCGGGGAAAATGACTTACCTTGCTGGATTTAGAAGCCAGATCACGAGTCTGATGAATAAAAAGTCACACTACAAACAACGAAATGAAAAGCAAGGGCAGTGCCTATAGCACTGCGGAGTTGTCAGGGAGCCTTCAGAGCCTCTTCCAACGCTCTATGCCTAATTCAGTACACACAATTTTGTACATGAAACTTTGAGTCCCTTATCCCAAATTGTCTCAATTTCAGGGCCACTATCCTAAGGTACACTCAGAGAGGCAGTATGGACAGGGGAATTGCTTTGGGCACTGATTGGGGTTCAAATCCTCTGTTACCAACTAGCTGGCTGACTTTGAATAAGTTACCTAAGAACTCTATACATCTCTTTCCTCACCGATAAAGTGCTTCTAATAAACACCGATTTCCTGGAATTGTTATGAGGCTTAAGCAGGGTAATGTGGGAAGAGCATTTGGTTAATGCCTGGAACAAACCTGAAATCAAATGCTTCTTGTATTGTATTAGGAGGTAGATTTGATGATTGAGACTATTGCCTTTGGAACCAAATATACCCACATTCAAATTCCTGCTTCATATTGCAATATTTACTGTGTTTTCTTGAGCAGCTTAGTTTTTCCAAGGTTTTGTTTTCTCAACTTTAAGATGGGAGTAATAAAATCTAACTGACAGCATTGCTTAAAGTTAAATGAGATGATAGAAAGTGCTTTGCAGAGTGACTGACTGCTTTGGGCCACAAATAACCAAACAACAACACACTCAAACATCAGAAGATCAATATGGCTTAAAGCAGTAGTTTTTCAAACTTTTTGGTACACTCCACAGTAACAAATAGATCTTAAATTATGACAGTACACATATATGTTACCATAGATCTATAGGGTGAATCAAATTTTTAAAATATATAGAACTATGCTTCATTTAATGTTCTAGAATGAACAATAGAGAGAGATAGATCCAAATTCAGGCTTTCCCAGTAAGCATGAGCAGTATGTCATTTCAGTATGTCACATACTTGTCCTTTTCCTCATTCCTCCATTTCATTTTGATGCACCTATTTCCATTTTTTAAGAAGAATCTTATAAAGTTTTGGAGGAGAAAAAGATGTATATAAAACGTTTACCTAAATATGCTCAATCTTATTCGATTACATGTTCATTTTATATATTGAAATGTTGCTGTCAGAATTGTTTTAAATACCAAATTGTTTGGGTCAAAGTTGGACCAGAGTAATGTCTTTGCCAATTTTTTAAAAATATTTATTTTTATTTGTAGATGGACACAATACCTTTATTTTATTTATCTCTATATGGTGCTGAGTATCGAACCCAGGTCCTCGCATGTGCTAGGCGCTATACCACTGAGCCACAACCCCAGCCCCTGTCTGTGCCACTTTTTAAAGAAGAAAACTATCCCACTTCTCCAAGATTATGGACCTACTAGTCTACTGAACATTCTACTTGATGAGCCACTTTCCTCTACGATACAAGTCTTGGTTTCTCAAGCTGACATTCTATATGAGGTATAAAAGCACACTATGACAATAATTTTTCTATAACTGGCTTTCCATCATTTTGTAGCAAATTCAATTTATAATGATGCAAGATCATAACTCTTAGTAATACTATTTTTGCCCTTTGATGAATTATGTATTAAATATATGGGCTCAATGATTGTCTAATGGTGCTTGTTTTGAGGGTTAGATTCAGGTATGGTGAAGTTCTGTGCATTTTTCTTAACTAGATGATTCTTGTTCACCTGCAGATACTCCATTAAAACAGCATCGATGCTGGGCACAATGGTGCTCACCTGAAATTCCACTGACTGGGGAGGCTGAGGCAGCTGGATCAAAAGTTCAAGGATAGTCTGGGCATCTTAGTGAGGCCGTGTCTCAAAAAATAAAAAGGGCTGGGGATGTGGCTCACTGGTTAAAGTGCCCCTGGGTTCAATCACCATGATCACAAAACAAAAATCAAAACCCCCAGCATCCACTGGTTTGGCGCAAAATGCACAGTAGTAGATGAACTGATTGTGCAGTTTATTTTACCTTTTTAGATCCTCAGTTTATTTTACCTTTTTAGATACCTTTTAGCCCTGAGCAAGCAGGTAGGAGGCAGGTGAAGGGACATAGCTGTTGCTTAACTATGCATTCTTTCTACAGTAAAATAGCAGCTAGGCAATCATTGGGACATTTGGAGACAGATACTTTTGACCATCTTTTATGGCTCATCCATTCCAGTGGGAGGCATGGGATAGCTTATTTGAAGTGGTGTTTTGGGTGTGGATAGGTATTATTTCTAGCATGCTGAGGGTCAGTTATTTTATCATTTTTCAAGAGATGCTCTTATAATCCCTTACTTTATGGATCGAGCATATGCTCATTCCTGGGAGTGACATCCCAAGATGAAAACTCCAGAAAGTACTGCACCAACTTAAAGGATTGGGGGGCAGGGGGTGGTACTGCGGATTGAACTCAGGGGCACTTGATCACCGAGCCACCCCCCGGCCCTATTTTTTATTTTATTTACAGGTCTCACTGAGTTGCTTAGCACCTCGCTTTTGCTGAGGCTGACTTTGAACTCATGAGACTCCTGCCTCACCCTCCCCAGCCACTGGGATTACAGGCTTGCACCACTAAAGGAAACACTCTTAAAACCATACTCATAACACCTGAATTTTTAGTTACGTAAATGCATGATGGAAAATGTCATTTTAAAACTACTGGCTTATGACCAATGGTTGTCCTTCACTTTTTAAAGCAAAATTGTTTATTGTTAAAGAGCACAAAAAGATGTTTTGATACACCTACTGAACTTATTACTGCAATTAAGCCAATTAATATATCCACTTTTTCACATAATTACCAATATTTTTCACATGTGGCGAGAACACTGAAGAACACTGAAGATCTACTACTCTCTTAGCAAATGTCAAGTATACAGTACAATATTATTAACTATAATTACTGTGCTGTAGTTGAGCTCTCTTGAACTTAGTTATCAGACATAGTAGAAATTTGGCATCTTTGACAAACATGGTCCCATTTCTTCTGCCCTGGTAACCACCATTCTACTCTTAGGTTCTATTAATTGGACTGTTAGATTCCACTTATGAGATCATGCAAAATTTTCCTGTCTGGCTCAGTTCATGGATCATAGTGTCCTTCAAGTTTATCTGGATATGATAGACTTCTTTTTAAAGTCTGAATAATATTCCATTGAGTGTGTATATACTGGACATGCACATAACAATTTCTTTGTACATTCATTGATTGATGGATACCTATCTCCATATCTTGGTTACTGTGAATGCTGCTGCAAATGAACACAAAAGTGCAGATGCCTCTTTGAGATACTGATTTCATTTCTTTTGGATACATACCTAGAAGTGGAAACACTGGATCGTATGGAAGTTCGATTTTTTTTTTTTTTTGAGGAACCTCAACAGTATATTCCACAGTGGCTATACCAATTCACATCTCCAACCTGTATAAGGACTCCCTTTTCTCCACATCTTCACCAACACTTATCTTGTCTTTGATAACAGTCATCTTAACAGGTGTGAGGTTACCTCTCATTGTGGTTTTGGTTTGAGTTTCCAGATTCCCTTTTCATTTTGTTGGTTGTTTGCTCTGAGGAAGCTTGTTAGTTTGATGCAATAAAACTTGTTTTTGCTTTGGTTTACTGTATTTTTGGTATCACATGAAAAAAAAATTCCAAGATCAAAGGCAAAGAGATTTTTTCTCCCTTTTCCTCTAGGCATTTAATACTTCCATGTCTTAGATTTTGTCTTTAATCCTTGTTGAGTTGACTTTTGTATATGGTGTAAGGTAAGGCTCCAATTTCATTCTTTTTCCTGTGGATGTCCAGTTTTTCAAAATTAGTTGTTGAAGAGATCATCCTTTTCCCATTGCACATCTTTGGCACTCTTGTCAAAGATCAGTTGACTGTGAATGTGTGGGGGTTTACTTCTGGGATCTCCACCCTGTCCATTTGGTCTATATGTCAGTTTCTATGCCAGCACCATGTTGCTTCCATTACAAAAGCCTTGTAGCATATTTTGAAGTGAGGAAACACAATACTGCCAGCTTTCTCCTTGCTCAGGATTGCTTTGTTTTTCCAGAATCTTCTGTGGTCCCATAGAAATTTTTGGAATTTTTACAGGGATTGCACTGTATCTATAGATCACTTTTCATAGCTGAGTACTAAGTTAGTATGGTGTTAGGAAGCTGTGCTTCAAATCTATAAATTCTAGCAACTATGCAGGTCCTCATGGTGAATTTGTGTGTTCTAAAATAATTCTTGCATTCATTGATTAGCCAATTCTTATTATTCCTTAGTCTTACATTATCTGTGTTTCAAAATCTTTATCCTATTATATGAATGTATGCAAGCCATGTCAAATGTCATTAGGAAGGACATAGCAATGTGGGTATAAATGCAGATATTAAATGATATTTATTACCAAGTTGCAAAGTTTTCCAGTTATTCATGTGCATTTCCCTGAGTAGAAGGTGAGAGTCTTGTCTTATACTGTTTTCATCCATGAGTTGTACACAAGACTGTTAAGAGCATGCTCTTGATGACAGGAAGCCAGGACCCTGGGAGTCCAGCTCTGCAAGCAGCTCTGGGAAAGGCCTTGGACAAGCCATTTAACCACTCTCGACTTCAACATACCTAGCACTTAAATGAATGAGGCATTCAGAAGGAATGATTCTCTATTGTCCCCTGAAGCCCTGTATTTTTAATTCAAAGACAATATGTCTACACAGAGTGTGGATGTTTGCCTTTCGTTCTCTCCTCAAGCCAATTTGAGTTTCATGTCAAATCCAACCCTCTGTGACTGGATGCATGCCCTATTCTTCCTCTAGGGCACTTCTCACTAGTTAATTCTTACTATGTATTTTATGGAAGTGCTAAATATCATTACAGCAAAATGCAGATAATACCTAAAGGAGGAAAGAAAAGATGTGACACAGTTTCATTGTGCAATACACTTTTATTTTCCTTTTACCTTTGCAGTCATCTTTGAGTAATCGTTGTGTAAACAATAGAATGGAATGAAATTACATTAAATTGTATGCAAATGGCTCTAGAACACCTTAACAATTATGACAAGGCAATTATAAATAACTTTTTGTCCTTAGTAATATATATTTGCTTTTGAAAGTACATTAAAGAGCTGCCGTATCTAGGGTTAGCTAGGAAAGAGCCATGGTGCCATCCTGGGAGCCCACCTCCCTGAAAGTTTAGACTCCAATTGTGAAAATCCTAAGGTGTACTAGTTCCAGAATATATAGTCAAGCAGAAGGCTACCTGGGTTGAAAGTATTTATTCTTGAAACTTAACAGCATTTTACCTTTTAGTCATTGCACAAAACCCTTTCTATTATTTTCACTCCATCTAGGTATTCTGCAGAATTTCAAGTAAAACTCAGATTCTGATATTTTCAAGTTTATCACCTTTAGAATAACAAATCCTATCTCTTAAGGAGAGCCAAATCAGAGATGGGTTTACAGTTAGCAACCTAACAGAATGGCAACATTTTTTTTAATGCATTCTAAATGTTCCAATTAAGCAGATCTTACATATGCCACCTTATGTAGAGGAAATTTTAGATCTGAGACTATTCCAGAGGAAAGCAGCCTCAGGCACATTCTTCATGTGAAATTATGCAAGGCACCTCCCTCTCCCAAGAGACAATCAGATTGTGGATTGGTTTTTAGGCAAACAAGCCAAAAGAATAAGCATCCAAGTTCCTAATTCAGTCATTTCAAAAATTAGAATTTATAAATACTCCAAAGATAGACCTGAAACTTTTTGTTTAAATAACAAGAGATTAACTGCAAGAAGCATATAATCAAAAAACTTTTTTTTCTTATAGCTAAGGTGTGTAATGCATAAATATATGAAAAATAAAATTCACAGTCAGTTTTAAAACTAGAATTCAAGTTTGGCTAATAAATCTTAATTTTATAAGTATATTAATTTCTAAGTACAACATAAAAGAGGCAGTATTGTCAGATGTACAATTGAAGTGTTATAACAGAAATAACAACAATGAAAGGAGAAATAGGCTTTTGATAGAAAATTCCTTTTGTTGCCAGTAAATAGGACCACCTGAGTGTATTTCAGATTCTTTTCATTTAAGGGCTATCCGAATTGAATGCTAAGAATATTAAATAGCTTTTGGAAAAATCAGCAACAGTCAGGCAGCTGTAGCATTTGCTTGTTCTCATACAGTGGATTGCTAGAGAATAAAGCAGAACTCGGAGTGTTGTAAGTTTTAAAAAATTATTTTTTATCCCATTTCATTGAAGCCAGCCTCTTCACAATCTTCTGATTTTGCTGGGACTGGGAGTGAGGGGGTGGGAGGAAGTGGACAGGAAGTGGGTGTGGGGGGGGGCCACAACAGATCAGGGTGACAGCAAGGGACATACATCAGCTCACACTCAGTTGAGCAAACCCAATCAGCTTCACTTCATCAGGAATCTCCGACCCATCACAGCCAGAAGCCTGAAAAAGGGAAACAAAAAAACAAAACCTTCAATGCTGGTTTGTCATTGTTGTGGGTATTTAAAATCTTGTTTATGCGATGGCAGATCCAAACAAAGGCATGGTTTGTAATGGGACCAAGTGTCCCCGTCTCTTCCAGGAGAGATCCCCCCAAGAGTCACCCTCTAGAATGACTTTTACTGTCAGGAATTTGGTCATCATGCCATCAAGTACAGAGCAGAGGTGCCACCCACACCCTGGCCTGCAGCTCTGAACTGCCAAGGAAACATGACTGCCAAAGGATGCACTTGAGAGTTTTCAATAACTAAACAGTTGTTCTAAAGATACTTTCTAATTAGATCCTCTTTGTAATAATAAAAACAACAATGTCTAACTATGCAGAAGAGATTGAATAGGTCACTAAAGTAATTTTGTTATTTTACTCCCATTACTTCCACTATAAATTTTGGATGGGAGGGAGGGAAGGAGAGAGGGAGGAAAGGAGGGAGTCACCCAGTATTGCATGGCTCATTATTGACAACTGCTATTTAAATGCTAGAGAGTAAGTTTTACAGGGAAAACTACTTGCAATAGTTAGGGTGTTAAAGACTTGGTCCCCAGGGAGGTGCTATTAGGCAGTGGTGGAACCTTTAAGAGGTGGGGCCTAGTGGGAGGTTGTTAGGTTTTTTAGGGGAATGCCCTTCAAGGGAATAGAGGGATACTGGGCCCTTATTCTCTTTGCTTCCTGTCCATGAGGTAAGTGATTTTTGCTCTGCTGTGTGCTCCTGCCATGATGTACAGCCTCTCCATACGTGCAAAGTAACAGGACCAACTAATCATGGATTGGAACCTCCAAACCTGTGAGTCAAAATAACCTTTTTTCTTTATAAGTGAGTTATCTTTCCTGTTACAGTAACAGCAAGCTGACTATTATACTAGAGTGCTTTTCCATTACAATTTTTGTTTGTCATATTTTAGGACATATTAATTGCCTTAAACTGAAGAAAATTATAGAGTGTCAAAGTCTTTATTATTTTTCTTACTTCAAAATCAGAAGGAATTTGAAATAAGCCAATGCCCTGTAAACTGCTCAGTGCCTCTAACATTTGAATTATTTTTATTTCCTCTGTCACCCACTCTTCCCTCTCTTTTACACTGACACACAACCGCTCTCAGATCATCATTCTAAGCTGCCTCTTCATGCTATAGTGCATAGATTCAGAATTAAACATTATATAAATACCACAAGAGAAAAAAGTTGATGAGTGACTGGGAATGGAAGATTAATCACCAAGGGACTATACAATCCTTTTCTGGGCCTAATTCCTGCTAAGTTATTGTCAGAGTGATTTGTTTTGCAAGGAAAAGGGCCCTTTCCAATCACCACAATTAAGCTGCTTGTATGTGGTTTTGGATATTTGAATAAATAGAACATAAAACCAGCCTTTATCAGCTGTAGCATTTTCCATTAAATAAGCAGCCAACTAGAACATACTTTAAATTTTTTTAAAAAAAATTTAAGTAACTGACTTTAAAGTAACATTCAGTGTAAGTTGTTAATGCTTATGCAAGAAAATTAGGTGCCTAACAGGTAGGAACATTAGAATTTGGAGAAAAGCATCCAATCTGTGCCTGTCCAGTGAGATCTCCAGTTTCACTTGACAGATAAGGTCTCCATGAGGTACAGGGGCAATAAGATCAGAAGGGCTCCTTCGTGTCTCACAAGCAGGCATTTCAACAGAGACACTTCCTGGTGGTATCAGCCACAATGATCCCTAGTGGAACCTTCACCTGCTCTCTTATCCTGCTGCCACAGTTTCTTCACCTACCCGCCAAGCCCTCTCTTCTGTCCTGCATGGCTCCTGCTAACATCACCTATTCAACCCTCTGCCTATGGCAGAGACAATCTGTGGGATGAGAAGGTGAGCAACAAACCTCTAAGGACAAACCCCTGCCACTGCTGATGAAAAAAGGTCAGGTCAGGTCACTAGCAAGTGTACAGTCTGTCAAAAGATTCAAAGCTACGCCAGAGATTTGGCAATGTGGATATCATGAGGACAAAATGATGACGAGTAAAAATGAAAGATCCAATAGTAGTTACTCTTAAGAGAAACCAAAGAAAAAATATGAGATCCTCTCTTGTGGCGAGCAGTGGAAGTGGGACTTGGGAGTGACAGTAGGTTCATACCACGGGACTCTTCCCAGAGGGCCCATTCCACCCTGGGTTACTGGGGCCTAGTAGCTCCAATGACATGCCAGTTTCCTGGACAGGCCATGTAAGTTTGCTTGCTTCAAAGCACTCGTTCTGCCCTCCTCTAACCACTGCTGGGCCCAAGTCTCTTTCAGACTCCAACACAAAGAAGGGCAACATGCAAATGGTCCTGAAACTGGGACACAAGGGACCAAAGACCTTTCTGCATGCCAGTCAAACTTTTGGATCTCAGGATGTCCTTGTACTCTTAAAAATTAATGAGGACACCAATAAACTTGTTGTTATTTATTGCACTTAGAAATTAATGTTAAAATATTGTGAAATTATTAAAATAATGTTTAAGATATTTAAAAAATAATATAATCATATTAACACCAAAACATGTTTATGTAAATTACATTTCTTGTACTATCTTAGAAATTAAATAATTAAAAAAAATACTTAACCAAATTCATTAAATGATAAACTCACTTCATGTTAACATAAAGTCTTTATGAAAAATGATCATGTCCCCCCCACAGCAACAAAACAGCAATACCACCAACAAAAACACCTTGGAAAGGTTGACATTGTTTTCCATATTGCAAACTTTTTAGTGTCTTACTTAATAGAAGATACCAGCCTTACAGAAATATGTAGTTAGAAGAGTGAAGGGTATTTAATGGTTTTTCTGAACAGCTGTGGATATCTCTTGGCTACTACGCCAAAACTTTCTAAAGGTTAGTTGCAACGTGGAATCTGAAACCATAGCATTGAACTTTTCGTCTTCTGTTCCATTAAAATCCATTGGTCTCCCTTGCCCTTTAAATGGATCTTTTACCTGTGCATGAATTTTAAGCTTCACTGCATTTTGCAGATCTTCCAAATGTTGACATTTTTCATGATACGATATGAAAGTTTCATTATACAATGTCAACAAATCATATTCATTAATATTATTCATCACTAATCTCTTCAGAAAATTCTTTTAGGTACTGGGGGGATGTCAAGCAGATACATGTTTTCCAAAATTATGTTTTTGCTTGAAAGCTCAAATTTATTATTGGCAATAGATACTGTCAGGTTCTTTAAGGGTCAACCTTACTTTGTTCATTTTGAAAAACAAAATATGTTTGCCAAATACCTGAGCATGAATAATAACAGATTGTCAGTTATTCTTCCAAGGAAAAAGGTGTTTTATGAAAAACAAAAACAAAACCAAAATCAAAACAGAACAAAAGCTAGCTGAGCTCACAACCAATCAATCTCACAAGGGCTTTTGCTAGACATTGTCAATGTAATTCAATATACTAAATAAGTATTCCCATTTCATCACACAGAATATTAAAAAGACGCGTCCTCAAGTTGAGAGTTAATAAAAACAAAAAACACTTGGTGCCTCATTAGTAAAATTCCTAAGTGAAACTGACTTCACTTTTTTCAGTGAATGAGTGAATAAGCAAGCAATGGCCACAGTACAGTTTGATGTCACAGCCTGGATTTGTGCTGACATTATCAGTTTTACCCACTGGGGCTTTTACACCAATATCAACACAGTAGGAAAGGCAAGTAACATCTTAGTAGTATTATGAAAAAGGTTTTGACCTCCAGAATCCCTTGGAAGGGTCTAAGGGAACCTCGGAAGCTAGAGACCTCACTTTGTGAACCTTGGCTTCAGAAGTGAAGAGTTCAGACTGCTGTGCCACCCCAAAATATGCCCTCTGGCATGCTGACTGTTTTAAATTAATGATTCTTTAAAAACAACAACAGCAGGAGCAGTGAGTACATTCTGACCTTCCTAAAACAGGAGCTGGAACTCCCACGTGGAAGGTTTCTGCCCTGCACCTGGTAGAAGATTCTCTGATCTAGAGGTAGGGAGTCAAAGCCAAGAGCAACCTGCACAAACCTTGTTAAACTAACCCTTATGCTCCTAGTCACTTGTCCATGATTAACTATCTCCCTCCAAGCCCTCTTACCTTGTAATGATTTCACAGTTTATTGTTCTTCGTCCAATTGCATATATAAAGTTCAACTCTAATGGCTTCCTTTGGGTCTTCCTCTCCTTATGAAAGTTCCCAAAACTTATGTTAAACTTTTCTTTTCTTTTTTTTTTTTTTTTTTGAGATGGGGTTTCATATGCTGCCCAGGCTGGTCTAGAACTCCTGGACTGAAGTGATCCTCCTACCTCAGCCTCCTGAGTAGCTATAACTACAGATGTGTACTACCATACCCAGCTTATATTAAATAAATTTGAGTGCTTTCCTCTTAATTATCAATTTAATTCTTAGGACTAGTCAAGAAACCCTTAGAGGGTAGAAGTAAAATTTTGCTTCCCCTACAAAAAAAAAAAAAAAGTACCCTATCAGGTACTTAGTGTGACAGCGTATGACATCATGCATGTCATCATTCAAGTATTTACTACGATTTCAAAAAATCCCTTCTCACTCCTCCTCCAAGCCAATGGTGTGGTCTGTGCCCTGCAAACTTGCTGTGGTTGCTTAGTACCAATCTGAAGGATACCCCACCCCAAATGTGTACACACTTCGGAACAGATGAATTTGAAAATTCGCCCATGCTTGTGTCTATCCCGCTGGCTATTACTGAAGTGGTCTAGGGTGTGGTCTGAGAATTAAGATTTTTTGAGCTCCCCAAGTAATTCCAAGGTGCCACCGAGCAGAGAACCACTGCTGTACTTCCCGGCATCCCAAAGCATGAAGCTCCCTTTCACAAAGCCTCAGTTCTAGAACTCCAGTCTGCATCAGAATCAGATCCTTGTGCTCAGGCCCCAGCATTCCCACTCCTTGGGCCCCAGATAGGGCCTGAGCATTTGAATCTTTATCAAGTTTCCATTTTCCAAATTTCCAGGTTAAGCTGACTCTGCCTGTCTGGGAGCCACCCTTGCAGAGCCACTGTTACAGACTTAAGTGTAGGGGGCACAGGGCTGCCTCATGGACCTACCTGAACTGGCAGTTTCCCTTAAGATCACTGTCACATCTTTCTCTCCTTTCAGTATGTGCAGAAAGTTCAAACTCCTAGGTGGTTTTACTCCATTTTGGTCTCAACTTTACCTGCACTTTGGGAACTATTGATTCAGTCATTCAGCCTCTAAGTACACATGAGCACCTCTAGAAATATGTCTTTTAGTCATCAATTGCTAAAATGCTTATGAAATCTCAAACTGCAAGGCATATAATGTTATCAGTTTTCAGCAACTAAAATCTATGAAGCTCATGTAAACGTGCACCCATTGGGTGGTAATTACACATATTTCAATTGGTATTCTTTTAAGGGAAAATCAAATATAGTTTTTTTTCATATTTTCACCAATATAATTTCAAGATTTTCACATACAGCAGCAAGTTTCACATACATTACAAAACTACAAGGTATGAAATTAAAAAATAAAAATATTTGTAAAAACCTGTCATAAGGCTAGTGCAGTGATATGTCAAAACTCAAAGCTCACACCAAACTGAAATGCCCTCCATGCCTTCACTTTTAACTTTCCTTAAAAGTGAAGAAAGAATCTGATCCTCCAGCCCCTGGCCATACCAACAAAGGAAAGCCCTATGTTTTATCTTATCTGTCAACTAAGAGGCTAACAATCTAATTGGGCAGGAAAAAGGAAAAGAATGCACTTTTTTATATAACCAATATCCTTGCCCCTTTGGGCTATTGTTATTCTTATATAAGCAGATATATCACATAAGTACAAACACCTTTCCAAACCTGAACCAAGTGGTGGTGAGAGGAGATGATGGTGATTGAGCCATCTCCTAATGGAAGGCTTCTCTGACTGGGCTAAACACTGGAACCATCAAGAAGTGACGTCAAAATAATCAGGCAACCTGATATAGGACCTGGGCATTAGTGATTTTATTTTTTAAAGCACCCCCATGGTCCTGAGTGAAGCCCTGGTGTAGTGAGGTTAAAAAAAAAATAGTATCAAGATATTGCTGTTCTTCAGAAGATTTTCAGGCCCCTGTCGTTCTCCTTTAGAGAGCAATGAAACCTCTGAGATTAAAATCATGATAAACAGCTGAGAGATAAAAGGATCATGTGCACCAGTGGCGGCAGCTTACAAGGAAAAGTGCTGCTGAACTACTTTGATCTTTTATTCTTCAATAAAATAACCAAATTGATGAATGAAGGCAAATGCATTTGAATCTCTGCAGTTTCATCAGCATGTGAGTGGCCTACAGAAGATCAGGCCAAAACTCAGTTCAAATTAGCTCTGTCAAGTGGATTTCAACCTGGCCGGCTGCTGATAACAACAAAGAAACCCTCTCAGGCTCTAACAAGGGCTGGATAGAGAGTGAAGTGACAGAAGTAGAAGGTCACTCTTGAATTTGGTTTTATTTAACACATTTAACTATCTTTGAGGGGAAAAGCCATCCATTTCCATTTAACAAGAGCATCATACAATGACACCATCAGGCTGCAATGGGACGGAACACATGTATGGACTTGTTTCCAGGACTGTGCCAGGCTAGGCAGTGTTACTCAATCTTTAAGGACAAAGAGACCCAGTCCCAGCCGATGTCAATGTGTCCAGTCATCTGAAGGTGGATCCACAAAGAAATAGAACTGTGAACCATGAGTCTGGGAGGCCTGCCTCTAGAGGTAAATAGTGGTTGAGAGCATGAACTCTGAGGCTAGACTGGAGTTGAATTTGCAGCCTGTATCTTATGATCCTGGCCACCTTCACTCCACTGAGCCTTGGGTTCCCAAGATGCAAAGGGACCCACAACCAGAGACAAGGCACAGCAGGGGATCTAAAGGTAGATCTGATCAGGGGGGCTTCAAAGCATGTTCAGGGGTGTGGGTTTGAGAAGAGGAGAGCTGTTAACATCTCTGGAACTTTTTAGAACTGCAGAAAGATTTCTCTGGTTACAGATGCAGACAGTACACAGGGCTGGGCACTGGCTAAGTGTTAGCAGAAAGACCAGTTTCTGCAGATGACAGTGTCTTGCTAAGGTGCTAGAAATGGAGATGATGAGAAGCAGGGAAAATGGAGAGAGAATCTAGGAAACTTATAAACTGATTGGAGAAGGAGATGAGGGAGAGTGTTACATTACTCTTCCCGTTTACCTAAAGACAGTACAGCAGCCAATGTGAAACCTTCAAATGCTTATCTTTGTCTACATATCCCAAATCAGGAAAATGTTCTAGAGATGGTATAAAAAGTGAATAAAGGGACATTTATATGACAGGTAAATTAGAAACACAGTTAAGTGAGAGTATGGTCCCAAACTAGAAGATGGATTTTTACAATTTGTTAATCTAGCACTCTGTCTGAACAAAATGTTCTTTTATTATCAAAAGAAAAAAGAATGTCTTCAGATATGCTCTTGCTGTGAAAAATCTTTTGTGTTTTTCTTTTATCACACAGTCTAGTTATCTGAAATTAGACGAGAAGCAAAACCCAGAAAGTTAATTAGCACTAGGCTCACATTTACTATAACTAATCATTTAGCGTTTTTGGCCACACACATTTTCCATTTAATTTTCACAAGAAACAAAAAAGACAGCTCATCAATATATGCTGTGAACAGCAAAGTGCTGGTGATCCAAATCCTAAATTGCTTGTGGCATTCCGACTGGCTCTTGATAAGATTAATTCATAATTTTAAAATGAGCCACTTATTTGGCCTTCATGTACTGTTTGCTAAGACTTTCAGGAAACAAGTCACTTTTGAATATCTGGTCTTCTCTCCACTTCCATCCATGACCATCGTCTCTTCTTATCACAATGACCCCAGGATTCTGTAGCTCCATGGCTTTATGGTCTTTAAGTTTAAAATCTGCTAGTGCATAAAAATTGTTGGAATATCTGCTCTCTACAAAAACCTGTACTGTGATTTGAAAGGTGAGTGTAAAAGGTGATGTCTTTGTTCACCAGCCTTCGGGGTGAGCTGTTCTGCAATCACTTCCAATTACCTAGACCATTTCTGCAACAATCAGCCTCTATTTTTTAAAGTTGGAACCACTTGGCTTTCACCTCAGGAAAGCTTTAGTAAAGAGTATTGCTCTCAATTGATTTTGATTGTGTCTGTTTGGTCAAGTTGCCACACAAACTGAAAGCCAACTGGAACATGCAGGTTTGAAGATTCCTAAATGGCCACTCTTTAGTCCAAGATGTGATGGTGGAAGAATGAGGCTATTCATGGCAGAGGAAACGTCTACTTATGATCAGAAAATGTTCCCAAATGCTGCAGAGAAATAATGATGAAAGCAAACACCGATCCCCAAACAACAAAATTATAGAGTAGCTTATTAAGCTATATTATTACTTATTAATGTCAACAATATGACACAATATTACCCTTTTCCTATAGCTTCCCACTTACCAACTTAAATGTCAATGTTTTTAAAGCTTTGGGATCATCTACGATCTTCTGTAAGTTAGCAGCCACTGTAAGACACAGAACATGGAGGAAAACAGTTCAGATTATTTCTAATGACACTGTATTTTCACACCAGTAATTGAGAAAATTTGACTAATGATGCAATAAACGGTAAAATCATTTCTTTCACAGACATTACAAAGTCCATATAAATGACCAAATTACTCTCATACAGATACATCATTTCAGCAATCTTGTATCTGTGTGCATCTGAATTAATCACTATATGTCAACCCCACATTTCATATAAAAAAATTTGAAATTACCTTCCTAATGGAAAGTAGAAATGATAGCAGCCCTCAGAGTCTCAACCATTTGGTTTTTTCTAAACATTCATTACTAAAAAACTTATTAGCCAGGAGAGGGCAGTACAAAAACAAAGAGGAGAGGAACTGCAAAAAACTTTTTCAGGAAATGACAGGTCAGCACATCCAACTCCTGGCCTATAAATCTACTCAATTCTGTGCTCCCATTTTTGTCAGAGCAACAAAATGCAGTGGACAACCTCTACCACCCGGTATGTTTTCATGCTTTCAGAGCACAGTGATCTGTCAAAACAATGAAGTGCCACCTTGAACAAGACCCAAGTCAGCTGAACAGGGTCAAGTGCTGGAGGCTGTCAGCCAGGAGCTCAGTACTGAAGATCTGTTCTCTGTGTCAGCGGGAATCATCAGAGACCTGTCCTGCTCTCTATGGTGTTGGGGTCTGTCTGATACCTCACTAGACACATCAGTTTTTCCTGGTTACTCCTCTAATTTAGGGCACTCTTTACAAGCAGAATTATCAAAAGGTAATAATGGTGGCAATTTAAAACTCTGCTCTTTCCATATCCAAACTTCAAGGATAATCTATTGAAGAGTCATGTTAAGGCTACTGCTCGGGGAAGCTACTACTGGAAAAATCAGGGGAGTAGGTCCTGATTATCATTTTTACTTGTCATGAGAAAAATCATCTGCTGCTTTAGCAACTGGGTATCTAAAAAGTTCTCTGAACTTTTTTTTGATATAAGAAATTTTAAGAGAAAAGAATATTCAGAAATATTTTGAAGAGAGACTCAAATAGAAAGTTTATAAGTAGAAAGAAGGAGGAAATCTGTGCAAATTTTATTTTTCTCTGAGACTGACAGAAAACACCCTAAGTACAGGGATTTTCTGCAGATTAGTTTATTTCATTTAATTCATCAGCTGCAGAGGAGGAAAAAAATGAAAATTATATATTCAATATGGCCTATTTCTCTTTATAAACCATAATTACAGGCATCCTTTCATCTTCATTTGTTGCCCTCTTGGTAATTCCATTCTGAGCAATCTGCAGGGCTACACTTTCACCAATACCGCCCACCTCCCCATGCCCCCATCATTTTCTTTTTTCTTTTGCCCAGACAAGCTTGCGCGCGCGCGCACACACACACACGCACACACACACATATATCAGGTATATGCTAGGCCACCTACCCCAGAAAAGTTATCACCACTAAGCTTCTTTTGGCATTTAAACAGTTCCCTGAACACATTTTAAATGCTAAAATCTTCTGGTACTTCATGTAGGAAATACTGGCTCCTAAAGTAAAAAGTCCTTTTCTAAAATTCTGTCCACCAAGGCCAGTGTGAGTGATGTCAGGCATTCTGACTATGTGCAAACCACAGTAAGTGAACACATGACCCATTTTATTAAAACATAAAAGTGTTCTGACAGTTCCTCAAATTTGGGTTGGTTCTGCGAATAGCCACAAAATCTTCATAAGAATTTCAGTCCTTTCATTAGAGTCTCTTGGCTAACTAATGTGGATGATTTGTTGCCTAGTTCTGGGTTGTCTATTTCCAGGCTGTTCTTTAATGTTCAGCCCAAAGCAGAGTTGTGTCCTACGCTAATTCACAATCCTTTCTGTGGTGCACACGCGTGTGTACCAGGGCCAATTTCCAAGGAATGGCTAAGCAGGTTGGAGACTGGAAGGCATGACTGAGCTGATAGCATCTAAAACAATCATCCTGGGATCCAGGCTCCCCAATTGTGAGTCCCACACCTCTAGGACATTAGAAATTCAAATTCTGTCTTCAGCTCAGAGCAAAAATAGCAAACTGGCCACTTACCTGATTACTTATCCCAGCTGCTAGGCTTATTTTCAATTTAGTTGATTCTAATTTGTTGTAAAGTGCTATAAAACACCTTCATTTAACTGACATCACATAAAATTCAGGGTGATGCTAATTTCTCTTCCAGTAGCAATGCTCATTAAAAAGATGGGTGTCACTGTTTTCTCCCTTCTCCTCACTGTGCACCTGGATTTCAAAAATAAAAATGCTCCTTACCTGGAACGTGAGCTGAGAAGGAAGGGCTGGGTAGGGCTGGCTGTGATTTGAGGGCTTTTGGTGGCTGTGTGAACACTGAAGTTGGTGCTTTGAGGGACAGTCGTTTCCAAAAACTAAGGGCTTCAGACACCTGTTTACTCAGAGGCCATCGGCTCATTGCCAAACCCTCCCAGCTTTCCAAAATAAAACTCACTGCCCTGGTTTCTGGTGCAGACTCTTTTTTATCTTCTTTCAGTTTGCCCTTCTCCTCCTCCTTCCCAGGCCACTGATTTCAGAACTTCAGGCCCAAGTGAAAGGGGACAATGTTGTCCTCTCATTTGGGAAAATGTGGACAATAAAATATACACTGAAGGCCCAGGGACTGAGGCTTTATAGCCCCATTTGCTGTTTTTTGTTTCCTTGTATCACACAGTAGGACTGAATACCTGTCAGGGATCAAGTTCTTATTTGATTTTTTTTTTTAAACATGCTGCCTGAGGTATGATAGATATTAGACTTTATCAAACTGTGATAGTATCATTAACAGCCACATGGATTAAACACTGATGTTCCAGCCCTCCCTGGATCTGTTAAACAGAGAAGGAAAAAAGTTTGTCCTGAGGTGATCTATCAATGGGCATGCAGTGCAGCCCAGGTTTCCTTGGACAAGTAAGTTGGGTACTCAGACACTGTTCTCTTCACAGATTCCTAGTACTACTCAAATGCTCCACATTTTGACAGGTAGAAAAGTAACAGTTACTTAATGACAATATATAGCCTGTGATTGTATTCTAGTAATTAGTCAAAAGACACCTTTTCTCACCAGATACCAGCTTAATTCACAACAACCCATAGATTAGTGATATTCTAGAGGTAGTGATTTAATTCAATTGGTTCAAGCTAGTTCCAAACAAAAGCTGTAGGGAAAAGACGACCAATAGACGCTGAGTCTGAGGTACTGAGAATGGTAAGAAATTCTAGGATAAGGTGCAAGAATGGTCTGGGAGACCCACCAAGGTGATGACTTCAAAATACTGTTTCATCCAAAGAGACACCCTAAACATTTGCTCTGAACATCACATTGATGCAGAAAAGGCAGCATGAAATGACAAAAGAAGATGGAGACAACCCAAGTTCTAGGCTAGGAGAAAACAAGATGAGATGAAGGGTGTTTCTCAGGGGCACTGTTGTAACACCAATGTAAAATTATCTCATTTCACTTTGAGACAAAATTAAGAGATTGGCCCCATTCTCCCTAAATGCCCAGGCTCCTATCTTCACGAGAGGCAGTGAGGTGTGCATCATTGCACAGTGTGTAAGAACCTGAACTCCAAAGGAGTTTGAATCCTGCCTCGTACCAAGGGCTGTGTAATGTCCCCAAACTGGGGCAGGTTTGCCTCACTTCTTTGTGCATGAGTGCATCTGTGAAATGTAGATATTAATGGTGCCTATCTTATAGGGTTGTCTTGGGATTAATTAGATTAATGCACATAAGGTGCTCAGAATAGAGCTTTGTATGTTGCAAGTGATTAAGGAACACTTACTCATGATCTCTGCCCTGGGCACTGCAATGCCGAAACTGTTCTCCTTGTCTTGGCCTCAGGGCCTCATAACCCTCTTGCTCACACTTGTCAGTTACTTGGAGAATTTTAGTCATGATTTAGAACGTGCTGCTTCCTTAGGGATTACTGTTTAAACTCCAGATAACATCCAAATTTTCCACTGTGGTCTGGCCTCAAGGTAACACTGTCTAGTGTTGTTGTTGTTGTTTGTTTGTTTTTTGTTTTTGCCATCCCCTACCTCAATTCTTTCCAGGAAGGGCTCCATAACTCCACACTTCTCCAGGTCTCTACCACCAGTTTTATCAGTGTGTGCTGAAATCACTAGAACCAATCACCAATCTGATTTCCTTGCCTGATTCAACCTTTTGATTCAAACCCAGAATAAATGTATATGAAGACAAATTTTAGAAAGATATGTATCTTCATGTACAGAAAATGATGAATTCTTACAGTCCATGTGAGGCCACCGTGACATTTCCACATGGGCTCAACAGCCAGGCTCCACCCAGCAGTCAGGTGAGTCTTCCAACATGAGGTCAGACCTTGTTACTTTTCTAAACTCTCTGATGGTTTTCCAGATCACAGTAAAAATCATGGTTTTGTTCTGGGAATGCAGCCTCTGAGGGAGAGTGATTGCCTGGCATGTATAAGGCCCTGGATTCTATTCCCAGAATCATAGGGAGAAAAAAAAAATAGTCATAGTCTCTACAATGGCCTCACAACCATCTGACCTGGCTGGCTTCCAGGTCCATTTCTGAGCTCATCCCTCACCATTCTCTCCCTTCCTTCTCCTGCTCCAGCCACAAGTGGCCTCTATAATGACTTCTAAGAACTTGGAGCAGGCTTCACTTGAGAACCCCAGAACCTGCCACTCCCTCTGCTGGAAGGAATCCTCCTCCATGACTGCCTCCTCCCCTTCCAGGTTCTGCTCAAATGTCCCAGGCTACCTTGTCCACACACCACACCCACCCTGACACTGCCTCACTCTCTATCCCTTTCTCATAGCACTTATAATACCCCACAAGCTAGATATTTATGAATTACTTTTGGATGTGATTCTTTAGCCTAACTCCACATGCCCAGAATGTAACAGGCAATGAGTGCAGAAACCATCTCTGTCTTGTTCACTACAGTTGTTTTGGTACCTGGCACAGAGTG